GGTGGGGTTATTTAGAAGAGGTGTCTGGTTTTTATTATGGTGCTAAGAGATGAAGAATTAAATAACAAAAGGTGTGATTACATTTTCAGATTCCTGTTTAAATCAACAATAATTCATCATTCTCTGGAGCCGTAAGCCAGAGCGACGCAGAGGCCCAAATTTGGTCTCATTTTGGACCGTTTTCATGAGCTTTGTTGCGTAATGGCCATAGACCCCCCCCCAAAGAACGATAAACTCAATCTGCAAAGCATGTGCAAAGATGCTTCTCCCTTATCACTGACAGCTCAAGGTTAATCACCTCATTTCTGGACCTGCAAATGGAGGACACACAGTTGTGGAGATGTTAAATGTCAGGTGACCTAAAAGTCGGAGTCCGCCATTATGACTCAACTTCCCTAATGGGAAGTGAAAAGGGGGCTCGTCTTTGCCGCTGTGGTCGCCATTGTCTGCCTTCCCAACAGATACAAATCCCTTTCTATTTCAGATCACATGCCAAAGAGGTCATCAGCCTCATTTAACCCCCCTTCCTCCCTTCTCTGTTGCACACAACAAAGCTTAATCCTCTTCCAGCAGGCAACAGGTGGGCCCTAAAATTGGGCCCTGCCACCTGAGTTAGGAGTGTACAGTAGGTGTGGTCAGGGGGAAAGTTTGGGGAGGGACCAGAGGCGTAGATTGTGTGTTGTGGGAGGGTTTTGCATTGGGCGGGAGGAATGGAGATCCTGCAAGCAAGCTCAGTGGAAAAAAAAAAAAATCTACTCTAGATCTCCCAATGAAATGAGTCATGACCACCCCTCACAGACACACCCCCACCTCACACCACTCTCTGGTCAGAGCATGCCGCCCTCTCCTTTGCCTTTTGCTGCCCTCAAACAGTGGGAGAACCCGACACCCCTCATCCAAAGCCAGGGCCCCAAGCACAGTCATGTGTGACTCTGACTAAATGCAGAGAAACTTTACACCATCGGAATAGTGGCGTAGAGCCTCTTCCAGCACAGTTAAGGGGTTTATGTACGCAACCGGGGGGGGATTAAGATGATGATATTACAGAGCCAAAAAGTATCACATGAATTCATTTGGAGTGAGCGAGGAAGGCTGAAGACTGGCAAATCGGCACAAACACACCTCACAGACTCAGCGAAGCGCCGAGGAGTTAACGTTTTTAATGTCACAGTGTCACCTGCGTGTGTGTTTTACTGTTATCCAACCGAAAAAAAGTCGCACAACCACAAACACGCACTCAAACACCACGTGACACAGCCAACTAACCCAGTGTGTAAATACTGTTCCTCCTTGTCGTGACCTATTTATGCATGCACAGGCATGTATGGGTGTGTGTGTGTGTGTGAGAGAGAGAGAGAGAGTGGTTGGTGAGGTCACCTGGTTCAAAATCATGCTACTGCAAATAGAGCTGCTGATTGAATGACAGGTGTGTGACAGGCAACAACATTTGCATTCGTTTCACAACATTCGTTTTATTTCTTGGGATAAAAAAAAACGGAAGTCATGATTTTAAAAAGACTGGAAACAAACGTCAGCGATAGAGTTTATCGTTCACATACCACGCATGTATTTTTGGTTGAGTAGTCTCTTTTTACGTGTCACCGTCCTGGGGTAGAAAGAATGTGATCCAAATCAGCAAAAATAGATTTAAGTACACTTTAACAACCCCGATGTTGTATTACATAAAGGATTAAGGATAAGGATTTATTACATCCAACTAAGCAAAAT